TCTCTCTCTATATATATATATATATAGAGAGAGAGAGAGAGAGAGAGAGAGAGTTACTTGGAGATAAGTCACACTGGATAAAACACTCTTCTCTGCATGTTCGGACAGGAAAAAAGGCCTATAACTCTTGAAATATTCTACCAGTATTATGCTGTAATATTTCTTATTATATTACATTGCATCTATATTCTGCCTCTTCTCACTTGTGGGGAACCCAAGAGGGCTTTCTCAGATCAATTTTATCTTCACAGCAACAACTCTGTGAGGTAGGATAGGCTGAGAGTCTGTGACAGGGCACAGTTCAGCACAGCACACCAGCATATTTTAACAGCAGGTAACGCTGCCACACTTGAACTGATTGTGTACCTTTAATAAATACCCAAAATTAAGAAAGCAAAGCTCCCCTGCCACAATGCTCTTTTGCGGGCTAGTGGGGGAATTACTTGCTAAATCCAGATTTAGGATCAGGGTGCACCCTGACTGGTGAATGTGGACCCACAGCAACTGTTTTACCCCCCTTCCAGTGCTGAATGGGGTATGAGGAATTAGGGGATTCTTGAATGCTTTCAGACACTTTCAGGCTGCTGCACCGTGCCATATTCAGCAGGGCCCACCTCCCACCTCCGTAGCATTTTCAGGGCATTGGGGGCTGCCATAGTATTGTGGGGGGTGGGATGCTCTTTCTACCATCTCAATTGCTCACATCTTCAGCAGGATGTAAACCACTGCAATAGGATACGTCAATAAAACATGGAGATGCTTTGTATGTTTCCTTTAAAGAAATCAAGCCGGTGTTCAAACAACAGATGAAGAATTCTCCTTCCTCTGGTGCTTATACACAACCTGAGCATTTTTCAAGAAAAAAAATGCACACTGTACTGTCATAAGGTATCAAAAGCAAGGCATTTTAGCTCCTGAGATGGACTAGACTATTTATCCACAATTGAGTGCTATTTTTATTGTGATCAGCCAAAATGTTACAAAATTGTGCAAGCTTTTGTGTTCTCCAGAACTCATCTGACTTGATGGTACAAAAATAAAAATGCAGCGTTGCTGTTGCTAATACAAAGGATAATTCCCTTGCACTGCTGGTGCGTGTACCAACAGGAGCCCTCACCCAGTGCTCAGTGTTTCTGTCTGGGTATGCTTTTGAGTGATTTATGTCCTGTTCCACTTAAAACAATGTTCAGGTTGGCTCAGCCTATAAAAATGAAAGGCGAACAAGCATTTTTGGAATCCACCTGCTCAGACGCCCATCTTTTGTGGAGGGCTGCCAGGCAAATGCCTTTCAGGAGAGCCACTGGAAGTACAGCAAGGTCAAGGCATTCATCAGAAATACATGTTTTGTACCATTCTGATAATGTGAGAAAAGCACTAGAAGCTATTCCTCTTACTATACAAATGCTACACATTATAGTATTCCAAAATCCATCCAGTACAATACCTGTATTAGGCCAGCAACTCAAAGAACATAAAAATGTGCAAGCTTTTGAGAACTCATCATCAACTTGCATGAGTTGGCCTAATAAAAGTAATATGTAGTATAAGGATTTTGCAATCTTTCACATTTTTCACTGTTGTTTGGTTATCTTTTCATCACTGCTATTATCACCCTCAACCTTGCTATTATCGCCCAACAAACACAGCTCCTAAATCCTGTCCGCTCTTTGAAAGTGCTAAAGCTGGAGAGGGAGGGCATGCGAAAGCTCACACATACCCGGTTTTGAAAGTCTTGGTCTACATTGCAGGTACAAGAGCTGTAATGTTAAGTTTCTTGGTTTGCCCTTTGCTTTTTCCCGGCGAAGGAACTCTGCTGCCCCCTGGAGGCCAGAGGTAGCCAAATACCGAGGGAACGGAATTGAGGTTCACACAGAGAGAAGGCTGCGGTGCCAGAGCTTTGTGGTGGTTTAGATGCGGGACCGCCGCTCCAGCGAGAGATTTTCCAGCTTCTTGGCCGATAAATGCGGCCAGCAGGTTTTCTGTTACTGCTTTCCAAAACCCGCTTAGCGAGAGGCAACAGTGGCACAGAATAAATGTATCTGAATGCCGTGCATCCCTGGAAACGTTTCCAGCTCTCTTGCAAGCTGTTATTCCGTCTCCAGACTCAGTTCGTGAGTGCAAAATCTATTAGCAGTGGCCTCTAATACAGTGGCCATACAATCTTGCTTTAAGGCTGTGTTCCCCAGCCTGGCATCCTGGACATGGCCAATGCTGGCCAGGAATTTGGGGACCTGTAAATGCAGAGCATCTGGAGGGCACCCACTGGGAAAGCTGTTTGGAGGAATACAGCATTTAGTTGTGAATGTGTGTAAACCAAATAGGGTTGCCTCCAGGGAATGGATTCTGTGTCCCAATGGTAAAGATGCGTCACCTGGCTGCAGTACCCTACTATTGAACCCCCACCTGTGTTTGATAAAGAACACTCAGCGAACTTAAACTTCCCAAAAAATCGCAGAAAGGCATCCTTTGCCCATTTCTGAGCACTACCCTTAGTCTTTTATTTTACTATTTTCATTATTAAATTTATATCCTGCTTTTTTCCTCCTGCAAGGAAGCCAAGATGGCTTACACAGTCCTTTTCTTCTCTAGTTCATCCTCACAACAACCCTGTGAGGTAGGTTAGGCTGAGAGTCACTGATTGGCTGAAAGACATTCCATGGCCAAATGTGGGGTAGAACCCAGGACTCCTGAGTCTCAGTCCAATCCTCTACCCCTCCATGGCTTTCACTACAAAGGTTGAAAAAACTGGTTATGTTTAGGCTTGAGAAGGAAAGATTTCAGTGAAGGGTGGTGGGGCATGATAACATTCCTCAAACAAAGGCAACCTGACAGGCCATCCGGCAGAAGAGGGAAAGACTAGATACCTGGGATTAAATTAAATTAAATTAAATTAAATTAAATTAAATTAAATTATGGCAGATTTGGGTGGAACCGTGCCTGTGGTTCCTTCAGCCGCTCTCCCCAGGATCTGATGAGCCAGAGCCATTCGGGCTGCAGAAGATCAACATAAAAGACCAAAGCAGCAGCAATTGGAGGCGGGGGAAGATACTTCCAGGCAGCTGATTTTCCCCCACCGCACACACTCGAAGTCAAAAGCAGGCTCTACTCCAGCCCACTGGGCCAGCCAGCACAAGCCGCAAGGGCAAACAAAAGCCTTTGCTATTAGCTCCATGCAGGCACAAGATCCTGGACTGTTCTTTTAATCAAATGTTGGCAATCTCAACCCAACTGCAAACAAACCAACTCCGTTTACTGGGAGTGGCGCACTGTCATCTGCAGGACTGCAGGCCTGTGCTTGCGGAGCCTCTTCTTGGCATCTGGGGCCTGTCTAAGCCTTTGCTACAGGGAATGGTGAGTTGGCTTATAAGGCTGAGGACTGCCCCAGTTGCTGGAATTGGAGGAAGCCATTCTGGGGAATTCCATATTGGTGGACAGGATGGAATTGCCTTTCCTAGCAAGCCTCTCAGACCGAAATCCTGACTAGCTTCAGTCTGATTGATTTCAATGGGTCGACTCCCAGTGTAACTCAGTCTGGCTCCAAGCATTTGAAACTTCAATTGCTACTGCTTCCTTTCCTCCCTACCTTGGACATGATCCAACCAAACATAATCACATCTTCCAGGAAGCAAGCCTCCCTGAGTGGAATAAAGCTTCGTTCCATGCAAGTTCGGGGACTGCAGCTTCGAAATCAGTCAACACTAGGAAAAATCTCGTTAAAATATGTTTACCATGTTTAAATATGTGGCAGAAGTCATGGGCCTTAATTCTTGGGCCACAATAGATGCATTAGTGCTTAAGGAATTACCCTTTGCTGTCTTGGCTGCTATTAACAATGTGGCTGCGCTCGGGAAATGGCAACCAGTGTCGTTTACAAATGTTCCAGTTGGCTGGATCTTGTCTAGCTGCAAGTTTGGTTTTTCATGGTTGTTTTATCTGTTTGTTGTTTCTTTCTCTGACGCCTTGCTGTATAGCAGGAGTGCCCAACGTGTCATCCTAGGTCCGTTTCATGAGGACCGCAGCCTAATTCCAAAAGCTTTCTGCATGAAATCAGTGCAAGTTTCTGGCCGGGGCAGTAGGCTCCTTTCCTGACAGCTTGCTGGGCAGGAAGGAACGACAGAGGAAAGTGAAGGGCACGACGACGAAAAGGCTCGCCCACTTTCCGTTTGGCCCTGCTGATCACTGCCACATGGTCTCCCACAAGCAGTGCGGCTCCAGGTTTTGGAGGGCCCCTTCCTCAGAGAGTCTCCCTTCTCACCATCCTTGCCCCCAGCTGCTACTGCTGTCCCCTCTCATCAAGGCTGCCAGTGGCTTGCTTGACAGGTGGAGAAATGGGGAGCAAGGGGGCAGGGGCACCTGCAGCTTCTCCTCCTCACCACCACTGCTGTCTGGGGCAGGTGAGCCAGGAGGCTGCTGTGGTGGAAAAGAGGAGCACCTCCTGCCTCGCTGGTGGGTCCCTGCCAGGTTGCATCCCTCAGCCGATACCCAGCTGTGCCTGTGTTTGATGCCAGCCCTGCCTATGAGATAAAGTGGCCCCTGACAGGAAAAAAATTCCCAAGGGAATGGGAATTGCCCTTGCGGGTGTCTATGGGTATTGATTTAGGGTTCGTGATTCTTGGTTGGCATATAGGCCAAATAAGAAAGGGACCTAGACCTTGGGGCTGCCCCCTTCATTGCCATAAACAAACAATTTCACTTCCTTGTTTGTAGATGATGCAATGTGGCCCTTTCCCTGAGACAGCTTGCATGGCATAGATGCTACATGTGGAGGCTGTGAACCAGGAAGTGCCTGGCTCAAATCACACGTGAACTTTAAGCTAGTTACTGTTATCTCAGTCCAATTAGCAACATAAAAAATGACTGAGTTTGCATGACATTGGCAACCCAGTGTGGATAACTAAGCCATAGTTGGCTGTCATGTTATCTGAAGTCAGACCACTTCTTATGGTTATGAAAGTTGCATAAATTTCCTTTCCCGCCCCCCAAAACCTCCCTGCCTTCAAATTTGAAATAATCCTTTCTCCTGATAGCTGTCAAAAGATGCTCACAAAAAGAGCTGAGATGTAGTTCTCCCCTTTTCATGGTACCTAACTGTGATAGAGGTGTGGAAATTGTGAAAGCGAATAAGAGCAATCAGAGCAACATGAAAAACTAGGAAAGAGCACTTGAAAGTGAGAGAGGCATTCACTTTGAGGGGGGAAAAACACGTCATTGTTTTTCTTTCCAGTTAACAGTTCACCAATTGATAGCTGTCAAGTATGCACAGGGCAACTTATATGCAGTCTCACTTGCTGAATGTCCACAGATGTTGCCCACTGCATTTTGACAGCCAAGCCATTAGTCTTTCATAAGTGTGCACTTGAGGAACGGCGAAGAACCCCCATTGGAAAAAAAATGCAAACTAAATTGCACACATTTCTGTGGTTTTCTCTTCCCAGTAAAAGGACAGCGAAGCAGTGATGGTCGCTGTAAGGTAGAGCCGCTATCACTGGCAGTGGAACAGGGGTCCCCGAGAAAAATAATCCTTGCAACTGAAAAGGACTAGCCGTTGGAGCAGGGACGGGGAGACAAGAGGTGTTCTGCCAGGCAGGATCCTGAGACACTGGCTGGAAAAAGTGGGGAGGCTGAAAGAGGGGAAAAACAACCCATAATAAGTTTGACGGTCTGCCAGGTGCACTGTGGCTTTTCTACAAACCACCCACACTGCCTAACTTATTTGCCATGGTTGTGTGAACTTGCCCAATAATACCAGCTTATCTTTCACTGGCCTAATTCCTGTAAAGAGAATTATACCAGCTTATCTAATCTCTGTAAGAATAACTGAGAAAATATAAGAAAATGACTGGAAACTTAGGAAGCACGGCTAAATGTGAGATGTTCACAGAAAATGTACTTCCATTTATTCAAGGGTGTTGGTGTTGGCTTTCATTCCCAGTTGCCCTGCTCTCCTTTTCAGACCACGCTGTCCTTTCTTACTTCAAGTAAGGCAGTTATCGGTTTCCAGGCACAATTTAAAGTGCTGCACTTGATCTTCAAAGCCCTCTACAACTAAGGATATCTTGTTCTCCATGAACCTGCCTGGCCCTTTCTAAATCTCCCTTTCTTCCAAGGCATTTTAAGAGAGGGATTCTTTGGTGGCATCACCCTCCCTGCGGATGCACACCTGGCACCAATGTTATCAACTTTTCAGCGCCAGACAATGGCCTGTTTATTTTCTCAGTCCCTTCATTTGTTTTTCTTTTAAGGCTCTCTTAATCTTGCTGGACCTGAATTAAGGATTTATGTTTGATGTTCTGCTGTTTCAAATTTTGATATATTTGTATTCATTCCTGGTTTTAATTTGGCTGTTTTTAATTATTTGTCTAGGTACCTTTTCCCCTAAAGAGGAGGATGAATAAATACATAGAGAATAGGTAACAGACTGGATCTTTAATTCTTCAGTACATGATTATAAATGGGATTTTAATCTGTGCTAATAATTAAATTTGCAATCCTATACATATTTATCTGGGAGCAAATCCCACTGAAGTCTGTGGGAGTAAATATGCATGGAATTGCACTCTCATAGCGATGGATAGGCATACTTAGTTACCTTCTTTGCATTAATTCAGGGTAAAATAGGTGGTGTTTTAAGAATGATTGTTTAGGGTGTATCTGTACTACAGCAGTACACCATATGCATTAATTGCCCCTAATTAATTGTATTAATTGCCATGGACAGTTTCAATTGTCCATGGTGGCTTCCTGAGGACACTAGGAATTTTAACTGGAGGAGGCTGAAGAGAATGATATTTTATAGATATCTTCCCACAGAACGAAAGCTCGCCAGCAGAGGTGGCTTTCCAGGGCCTCCTCACCCAGCTGCTTTCCCTGCCCAGGGTTCGTTCATCCGTCCGTCTGTCCTTCCTTCCTTTTTGTATTGACTTCTTGGATGGCAGCAGCAGGAAAAGCAGCCATGATGGTAGTGATGGCAGCCCACCAGTATGGACACCAAAATTAAGCGGGTGTCTGGTCCACCTTGCAGCTGCCCGCCATTTTAAATTCAGGTATGTATTTTTTTTCCCCCTTGGAACAAGTCTTCTGAGCAGCAGACAGCTGGACTAATCAGACACTGCCTCGGGGCGGGTGCAAGGAAAGAGGGTACCCGAGCTGCAAGGAGTCTTCTCACCGCTGCAGTGGCTGTGCTTAGTTCAGCTCGCTGTTCCTCAGATGACGTGTTCGAAGAGGAAATGCTTCTGTGTGCTTGCAGCCTCGAAGGTCTCCCACCACAAAAGTTCTTTCCTCTGTAGACAGCCTTCACGGCCTGCTGGGGGTCATTTGGGGGCTGTGCAGGCGGTGGGTCCCCACACCTGAGCCCTGTTGGTCCAGCCCTAGCGGCGCCACTGCTCTCAGGATTTCCAGAGAGAAAAGGACTGCAGTGGAGGTAGACCCAGGACCTGCCGCCTGATTCGCCAAGCGGCACGCTTGAGCTTGTTCTCCTGGCAGTACCCACCAGTGAGGGTGGTCGCATCCTGCTGCTTTGGAAGCCCACCATGGCTGGAGGCAGATGTTGTCAGCTCTTTATCGAGGAAGGAAAAGGGAAGGCTGCTGTCGGAAAGGCTCCGGCCTGCGTGGGTCTGTTCCAGTGCTGATGTGTCCAGTTTGGCTGACGTGGTAGTGAGGAAAGAAGGTGTTGTGCAGGGAGCAAAACATTGGGCTCGGGGAGGAGAGGGCAATGCAGGATTGTGGTTCTGCTCCACACCTGGAGAAAGAAAGGAGAGCGTGACTGAGCAAAGCTATTTTAAACCGCAACACTCCAAATCTGGTCCAGACAAGGACAAGCTGAGACAAGGCCCAAAGAGTTGTGTCAGCCAAAACACAGCCTTCTCCAACCTGATCACTGGCAGCTATGTGGACTCAATTCCCATCATTCCCAGACAGCACGGAGTGATAAGAATGGAAATGCACATATTTCCAGGTTGGGGAAGGCTGTTCTAGCCCTAAGGCCCTGCTTCCAAGCTTGGCACCATCTTGGCACAAGCTTGGATAAAGCCAGACGTGTACAGTCACTCTGACTGATGCAATTAATCAATGAGGAATGTGTTCTGCACATGCCCAGAGGCAGTCTTGCTCTCTGTTCAAAAGACTGGATAGAATCTCCGGAGCCATGATTCAAATGAATGCCACATATGAGGGGAAAAGAGGTAGAGACTGGAGAGCATTTAAAATGATCAGCCTTCAGCTTGTAACTGTTTCAGGAAGGTGGGATCAATATTATGTTAGAAGAAATTGTTTGTTTTTCACTCCACTCCAAGCTAGGAGCGCTAAGCAGACGCTATTATGATGTTGGTGATTTACTACTGGCCGCGTGCTGCATTTACAACAGCTGCGAGTTATGTGGGAGGAAAGGGTGCTGGAGATGCCTCAGGCCTCACGTACCGCCTGCCATGTGCCAGGTGGCAAAGCTGGAAGAAGGTGGACCTTGGCCTCCCAGTCCTGGAGGTCTGGAGTCACAACCTGAGTCTAAATATGAAAGCAGTGGGCAGGCTGAGCTACTGGAAGGGGGTGAAGAGATCCCTCGTCAAGCACAGCCCATGCCCCAAGCCCACCCCTCTTTTGGGTTCAGGGTGGCCAACTTGTGGCCCTGCAACTCCCATCAGCCCTTCTCTGCAGAGTCAATGGTGCAGGATCATGGGAGTTGGAGCCCAAAGCTTCAGGAGGGCCACAAGTTGCCCATCCTGGTGTTTCGTTGCAGAGTTGACTTTTCTTGTACCGCATGGCTTGAGCAGCGCACTTGAGACTGAACAGTGACTGACACTGAGTCGAGCATTTGGCATGAAATCAAATTGGCCTTTTTATTCTTTTTGAAGAGATCAAACCGGTCAGTCCTAGAGGAGATCAACCCTGACTGCTCTGTAGAAGGCCAGATACTGAAGATGAAACTCAAATACTTGGGCCACCTAATGAGAAGGAAGGACTCCCTGGAGAAGAGCCTAATGCTGGGAACAATAGATGGCAAAAGAAGAAGGGGATGGCAGAGGATGAGGTGGCTGGATGGAGTCACTGGGGCAGTGGGTGTGAGCTTGTCAGTGTGAGCTTGGGTGGACTCCGAGGGATGGAGGAGGACAGGAGAGCATGGGGGAATGTTGTCCATGGAGTCGTGATGGGCTGGGCTCGACTTTGCGACTAACAACAACAATTCTTTTTGAGCTACAGATAGCAGCTGCTGGAGGGTCTACTCAGGACTGTATTTAACCCTTCCGCACCTGCCATGGGCATAAAGCTTTTCCCCTCCATCCCAACCCCTGTGCCAGGCTCTTTCCATTGCAAGAGAAACCGACACTGGCACTCGTGGTGACCTGGTGCCAGCAGGAAACCCCATCGGAGGTCACAAGGTCTGGCACTAGCTGCTACCACTGGGAGTAAAGCAACCCAGTCTCCTTGCTTCCAAGCATGCTTGTCCCTTGGGAACAACTGGCCAAGGATCCCACTGGGATCGTGCGTGTTGGGCTTCTTTGCAGCCCGCTGATGTCCTTCAGGGAGCACAGCCAGCTTGCGCTCAGCATGTGGAGCGCAACCAAAAATGTGGCATAGCTCTCATGAGCCTCCACACTTGGGGATGAAAGTGCACAATCTGGATTTGGGTGAGAACAGGATAAAAGGTATATTAAGAACTCAGGTAAAGTACAGAATGGAAAAAGGGAAAGCAATAAGTGGTCAGTTTCTGAGAGCAAAGGAATGAATGGTTCAAAGAGTCAAAGGCACAAAACAATGAGGAGATGGTGCTAAACTGTCTGCCTGGTTCTTTGATGTTTGTAGCAAGGCTCTTTCCTTCTATCAGGTCTTCCCCCTTGGCTAGGGAAAAACCACACCTGGGCACCTGAACCAGAGAAATCTTGGGCAATCTTTCCTGGGTCTGCCTCAGGTACCCTCACTTGCTCCTAGCACCCTTGTTGGAAGATACACACCTCTACACTTTCTGTCTTCTCTGGTCACTCCCCACTTGGCCAGGTGGAGATTTGTGAGAAATCACTTGTCTTTTGCCTGCTGACTGTCCAGTGATCATTCATTCATCCCCAGCATTGAGATGGATTTTAGGAGATGCCTAATATTTAGGCACCTGGACTGTAGTGTCTAGCATACAGAGAACATCAGCCAGGTCATATACATTGGAGATGGGGGGTTTCTGTCTCCGGGATCTGGGAATGATGGATGTAGTATGGTCTGGCTGAAAGGCTACTCTGGGCTGACCAGAGCAGCTTGCTTATTTAAATATTTACTTATTTTATTTTTATACCACCCAAGGCTCCTTAAACTTATAAATGAAGAGAAACATATAAATGAGGAGAACAACATATAAAACAATGCAACCATAAAACAATAAATAGTAAAACCAATAAAACCACAGCAGTTGCAATCGAGCTGGTACAGCAGTATAGCAGTAGTACAAAAAATATAATACACAAACTAAAATTAAGGAGTTAACTATTAAAATGCTGGGCAAATAAAAAGGTTTTAGCCTGGTGCCAAAAAGAGTAGAGAGTAGGCGCCAGGTGCACCTCTTTGGAGAGCTCATTTCAGAGCTGGGGTGCCACAACCAGAAAGGCCCTTCTCCTGGAGGCCACCCTCTTTACGTCCTTCGGAAGGGCCTCCCAGAGAAGAACCCCAGAAGAAGATCTTAGGGTCCAGGTAGGTAAATAAGGGACAAGGTGTTTCTTTGGATAACCTGACCCAAAGCTATTTAGGGATTTAAATGTTGATACCAGCACTTTTGACTGGGTTTGTATTTCAACTGGGAGCCAGTGCAACAGAAAGAGGACTGGCAGAATATGGTTTTGAAAGACAGTCCCTATTAACAGCCTTGCTGCCCTATTTTGAATCTGTTGAAGTTTCCAGACCATTTTCAAAGGCAGCCTCCATACAGTGCATTACAGCAACCCAAAATGAGAGGTTACCAAAGCATGGATTATTGTAGCAAGGCTAGGCCTGTCCAGATAGGACCATAGTTGATATATCAGCCTGAACTGATAGAAGATGTTCCGTGCTGCTGAGTCCACTTGAGACTCAAGCAGCAATTCTGGATCCAGGAGCACCCTCAGACTATGACCCTTGTCCTTCAAGGGGAGCGTGACCCCATCCAGAACAGGTTGGATAACTCCCAGACAACCCGGCCACCAACATCGCCGCCACCTTGTCTGGATCGAGTCTCTGTTCATTGGCCCTCATCCAGTCCATTACTGAACCCAGGCACTGATTCAGAACAGCTACTGTCTCACCTGGGTTTGATGAAAAGGCTGAGTTTCATCTGCCTATTGATGCCACCTCAGCCCGAACCTCCAGATAACCTCCCCAGCAGTTTCATGTAGATGTTGAAAAGCAAGGGGGATAAAATGGAGCCCTGCAGAACTCCACGGCATAACTGCCTTAGCTCAGAGCAATGATCCCCCAGCACCACCTTCTGGAATCGGTCAGTCAAGTAGGAGCAGAACCATCATGATGCGTTACCTCCTACTCCTAACCCAGCCAGGCCATCCAGGAGGATACCATGGCTGATGGTATGGAAAGCTGCTGAAAGGTAAAGGAGAATCAACAGTCTTTCGCTTGACAACAAGCAATTTTCTTTCTGCTGGCAAAGGTCATCCCAAAGGATCACCAAGGCAGTTTCCAATCCAAAACCTGAAGCCCAGCTAAAATTGAGCTAGATAGCCCATTTCATCCAAGAGTGGTTGGAGCTGCTCAGCCACCACCCGCTCAGGCACCTTGCCCAGGAAGGGAATGCGGCAACAGGCCTGTAGTTATCAAACTCTTCTGGGTCCAAGTTGGATTTTATTTAGGAGTGGCTTAATCACAGCCTCTTTTAAAGAGGCTGGCAGCATTCCCCCTTTCAAGGAGGCATTTACAGCCTCCCAGACCAGGCACAAGCCCGTTCCTTAGTTTTCACAATAAGTCATGATGGACAAGAATCAAGCATACAGGCGGTAGGCCAAACCTGACCAAGTACCGTGTGCACATCCTCAGGCCTCAAAAACTGAAGCTCATCCAGCAAAACTAGACCAGACGGTGCTCTGGATGCCCCTTTAATGGAACGGTATTAATTGTGGTATCCAATTCACAATGAATCTGAGAGATTTTATCTTCAAAATGCTATGCAAATTCATCACAGTGAGCTACTGAGGGTTCTATGGTTTCTTTGTCTGGCCCAGATTGTAGAAGACCATGAAGCACCTGGAAAAGCTCTGCCGGACAGCAGAGAAGACGCAACGCTGTTGGAAAAGAACTGCCTCTTTGCCACCATGGAGGAGGCTCGATAGTGAGCTCCAACCCAAGTCCAGCCGGACTCAGCACAAGTTTTCCTCCACCTGCGCTCCAGCCACCTCTTGCTTCATTGCCCTCAACTCAGCTGACCGGGCTCTGCTCAAGAGAACAGGGCACTTGGGTGTGAGGGTATCAACCTCCCAAGCCATCTCTATTTTCCACAGAGTGGCTTGGGCTTTGACAGGAGCGTCAACCATAACAGCCAGCGATTCCCATCCAGATCTATTAGCTTCCAGGGGCAGATCTTTTTAAGAGGCCCCCCACCCTTGGGGAAAAAGAGGGGGGAAAGAGCCAAGAGTTTAAACCTCAGAAGGACCATGACAAGAGAGTTAGTTCATTCCCCCAGTTTCAGATCACCATCTCCTGCCCAGTCAAGAAAACCAGATCAAGAGTGTTTCCTCTTACATGCGTAGGGCCAGTGACGTGTTGAGACAGCCCCACGGTTGTCATGGTGGCCATGAAGTCCTGAGCTGATCCAGATGATGCAGCCACGACATGGAGGTTCAGGTCCCCCAGAACCATCATCCTGGGGATTCTCAACACCAAGTTCCAGACCACCTCCATCAGCTCAGGCAGGGAGTCTGATGGGCAGCAGGTGGGCAGTTTACCAGCAGGGTCCCTAATCTGCCTCGAGTGCCCAGCACAAGATGCTAACACTCAAGACTGGCACTCGAGTGGGCAGGAAGCCTGGAGAGGGAGATGGTTCTCCCTCATAGGCCATGGACACCCCCTCTCCCCGACCCTCAAGACAACGCTGGTGCTGCACCAAGTACTCAGGTGGGCACAGCTGAGAGAGCGTGGCCCCTTCCACTTCGCCCACCCAGGTCTCAGAGAGGCAAGCCTGGTAGGCGACCTTCAGCTAACTTCTGGCAAGGCTCTTTGTATTTCTGGAAGTGTTCTGCGCTCCAGCTGTCCCTACTTTCCAGGAGTCATCCCTTCCATGCACCACCGCCATCACCACCACCACCTGTCCCTGTCAAACCATTGTCTCTGTTCGGGCAGTAGAAAGAAATGCTGTGGGTGTCTTTACTGGCTTAGCACGCATGCGCTAGAATGGCTAATATGCATGTTTCGGCCCTCTAGGCTAAACGGTGCTTCTGGAAGTCAAATGTCTGCATCAAATCTGTCTCCCAA